CCACTCCTATTTCGGAAACTCTCTCCATTAGAACTGAAGGTAGTTTTTCCACCTGGAACAACAAACTCAAACATGCATCACCACATTAGATATCTCTCCTCTCTAATGGTAGACTTTCCTCTTCAAATAAGAATCCTTGTGATGTTTGTTAACACGCCAAGAATACACATGTTCCTTTTCCAATAAATGCATCGTGAGCACAAATTTCCTTTGCCCTCAATCATTGTGATATATGGGGAGCTTATCATACTCCGTCTCACTTCAGGGCATGGTTCTTTTTTACCATTATGGATGACTATAGTAGATGTACCTGGGACATAAATCTGAGACATATAATCTTCTTGTTGCCTTTTGCAATATAGTGTGAACTCAATTCATCTAGGTTGTAATGTCTATCAGATCTAACCATAGGAAAGAGTTTTTTTTTTATCCCATGCAACAATTCTTTATAGATAATGACATTGTACATCAATACACTTATGTGAATTCCCCTTAACAGAATGGAATCATTGAGAGAAAACATCAACACCTTTTAGAGGTGGCTAGAGCATTAAGATTTCAAGATTCACTACCCATATCTTTCTGGAGAGAGTGTGTTCTCACAACTGCATACATTATTAATTATCTTCCAGTTGTTCCTCTACAAGGTAAAACTCCATATGAACTCTTGTTTGGAAAGCCACTGACTAATGCTCATCTTAGAACCTTTGGGTGTTTATGATATGCCCAAAAATGTCCTTTGCCCAAGGATAAATTTAGGCCTTGGGCCACCCGTTGTGTGTTTATTGGGTATCCTTATGGCCAAAAGGGATATAGGGCCTATAATGCTAATATCGGCCACATCTTCACCTCCCGAGATGTAAACTTTTATGAGGACACCTTTCCTTTTATTGATACCAAATTGCTATCCCATTGGTTCATCCGGATGACATGTCCAAATGTCATTATTAAAGAACTAGATGAGCCCACTACTGGTAAGCCTATTATTGATGAAAATCCCATCATTCACACCACAGAACCAACTTTGCCCATGTCTTGACCTCATCGAGTGTGTCGGCCACTTGCTCACTTCCAAGATTATGTTTGTCATGGGTCCATATCAGCAACAATCCCTCCTTATGAGCCTACAATTTATGCTCAGGCAGCCTAGGATCCAAGTTGGCATCAGGCCATGGATGCCAAAATAGCAGCTCTTGAACGTAATAAGACATGGTCTATAGTTGATTTACCTCCAGACAAGAAGCCCATTGAGTCCAAATGGATATACAAGTTGAAATATAAGTCCGATGGAACAATAGAGTGCTACAAAGCGCACTTAGTTGCTAAAGGCTACACCCAAGTTGAAGGCCTTGATTACCATGACATATATGCACCCGTGGAAAAATTAGCAACACTTCGATGTCTTCTAACTCTTTCAGCCATTAAGGGATGGGAATTACATCAACTAGATGTAAACAATGTGTTTTTGCATGGCGATTTATCTGAAGAAATCTATATGAGTACTCTCCTGGGCTTTTCTAGACAAGCCAAGAATAAAGTTTACCGGTTACACAAGTCCCTCTATGGGCTCAAATAGGCTTCTCATTGTTGGTTTGAGAAATTTGTTGGTGCATCTTTATTCACTTCTCATTAGGGCTCCTCTTATCTTGTCGTACTTGTTTATGTGGATGATCTAGTTATCATCGGTAGTGATCCAATATGCATTGTTGACCTTAAATCACACTTTGATAGATGCTTTCATTGTTGTCTCCTCCACTATTTTCTGGGACATGAAGTCACACGGTCTTCTTCAAGTATCTTTGTCTCACAATGCAAATATGCAATGGACATAGTTACAAACACTGGATTGATTGATTCCAAGCATGTTACTCATCCCATGTATCAGCAATGACATTTTGTGGATAATTCCAGTCCATTACTTTATGATCCAGCCCAATGTTGGAGGCTTGTTGGGCAACTTGTTGATCTGACCATTACTTTCCCAAACTTGTCTTACCTAGTTCATGTGCTTACCCAATTCATGAGCGTGCTGCCATGTGAAGAACATCTCCAAGCCGCTAAGCATATCATTCGTTATGTCTCCATCATTACTCAATAAGGCATTTTTTCTTTGCCTCTAATGATTTCATTCTACAGGCCTATTGTAACTCGGATTAGGTGTCCACTCACAAAACGATCTACTACAAGATATGTTGGGGGTCACTTCTTTCATGGAAGACCAAGAAGCAAGTGACAGTGTCTCGATCTTTAGCCGAAGTGGAATATCGTGCAATGGCGATGGCTACTAGTAAATTAATATGGCTTAAACAAGTCCTTCATGACCTTGGATTTCCCCTACAATAGCCCATGCAACGTTTTATTAACCCTATATTTAACAACCCTACCAAACATGTTGGCATCAACTATCATTTTGTACGCAAAGTCAGGAACATGTTCAGCGCAAGTACATTAAGCTATGCCATATTTCTACCAAACTCCAGCCTACTAACTTACTAAAGCGTTGGGTGCTGGTTAGTTTCACTTGCTCTCTAGCAAGCTAGGTCTTTCTAGAGCTCCAACTTGAGGGGGGTATTGGAACAAGGTCGTAAGTTGGTGAAAGCTTCACCGGAGAAGTTGTTATAACCGAATGGCTAACATGGCTTCCCTTCCATAAGTATATATATATATATATATAATTTTATTAACCATTATCAAATGGAAAATCAGAATATACAGGTTAGGACATAGCCCACCTTGCCCCATGCCCAATACAAAATGCACTCATCACCACCCTCGTAAAATCCACCCTAACAAAGAAATTAAAAATTACAATCAGATTTAACCAATTCTTAGAATGGGAAGATTAATATAATCCTCATGCAATAGTCTTTTAAGCTTTGGTGGGGTATGAAGTATGGAATTAAAAGTTGCATTGCTTTTCAAATTTACACCCACATTTGCAAAGTAATCTTCACACCTATTTCCTTCTCTCAACGAGTGACCAATAGAATACCTCATGTTACCAAGTATTTGTTTGATCTTCATATAAGTGTAGGCAATTGACCATGGGTGAGATGTTGTCCCGTTAATGATGCCGACTAACACCTCATTGTCACTCTCTATTTCTAAATCAGTGATTCCAAATTAGAGACAAAAGTCTAACCCATCTATAAGAGCCAAAAACTCAGCTTGAATGGAGGAAGTATAGCCATAGAAATTGTAGAAAGCAAAGCAAAAACCTCCCAAGGAATCCCTAATAATTCCACCCCCACCACTGTCACCCAGGTTCCTCCTACTAACACCATCTATATTTAATTTGTAATGATAATGGATTAGAAATTTCCCCGCTACCCATCTAATTTTCCTTCGCCTAACATCCTTGGTTGTAATATTAAGAGTTTGGAGAACAATGTTGTTAAAGCTAGCATTGAGAGGGGGTTTTTGGATGGCATTAATATCAATCAACCACTTCTTCATTCTTGAAATCAGCTCATTAGGTGTTGAGGCTTTTCCTTCAAAAACTCTTTTGCATCTCTCATTCTAAATAATCCAAAGAATGAGACATGGGGTGATAGCTTTTAAATTGTCAACTTGAGAGTCAAATTTGCACTGACACCACCATGCTCTCACCCGATCACCAATATATTGTGAGGGATTAATGTGTATGTCAAATAAGCAAGAGAAGAAATTCCAAACTTTTTGAGCCATAATCCCGCCTGCAAACAAGTGATGAAAGGATTCAGTTCTATGGCTACCACAACAACAATATTTTGAAACCAAATTAACCCCACGCTTCGTGACTTTGTCATCAGTTGGAAGAGCACCATGCATAAAACGCCACATAAAAATAGAGATTCTAACTCTCTCCCATGCTGAATTAAGAGAGAAGTGACCATTTATATTACAGTTCCAAATTAGCCGATCATCTTCATAATTTTCTTCTTCGCTCGTCTCTGTCGTCTGTCGGTTGTGCTCAGGAAGACATGTTGGGGGACCTTAGCATGTGTGTTGTTATGAAGTGTTTCTATGTTAGGAATTTGTGAAGGCAAACAAGTGTCTGTAGGAAACACCTATATATGTCAAGAAGTTAGTGTTACTACTCTAATGTCTTATTGCATTGTTTCCTCTCAAGTGGGGTGGTCCCATGTACTTACAAATAAAGATAGGAATGAAGGTTATTTGTTTGGGGGTGTTATAAGAAGCAAGATGATGCGGTCCCAACTTTATGAGAGAAAATTGAGGCAAGTGGAAAGTGGTGCAAATTTTGCATCAATTTTTGTGATGTGAAATTTAAACTACTAGCAAATGTAAAATGAGACAAAAAGTACAAATATTGTATTGAGTAAAGAAACAAATCATACTTACAAACAAATGGAAGCAAAACCAATCCAAGTATAAAATTTGTATCTCATATAGATTTGTACCGCAAACAAATTAAGTTTTATGTTTTTGGGAAGAATGAAAATACAAATATGTATGTAGAGTGCAAAGCCTTATCATTTTAATTATTTTGTTTTTATACTCATATTTTTTATTATTTTGTATGTATTTGCGTTGTACATTTTTTTGTACTACTCTTTCAAAACTGAGCCCTAGCAATAAAACACAACTAAATTGTGATTGCTGTCACACTTCACTTCGTTTAATTTTAGCTTTCTTGCGTCGTGCCCTATTCCTAATAATAAAAAAAAAAACACTTTTTTTCTTTATGGTTTGGATTTTGTTTGCTTTCACGTGTTCGGAAGGAGTACAAATACAAATATGTAGAGTGCAAATTTTTGTATTTTATATGTATTTGTACTCTTTGCAAGGTACACTACAAATTTGTATTTATATTCCTAGAAATGATTTTTTTAAGGAAAAGGCATGAAAAGAATATTTTGAAGACGTCAAAATTTGAACCAAACATTCATGTTAAATTTGTTATACATACATAATGATTTTAATACATGAAATGAACTTCTCTTTTCTTGCTAACCACAAATAAACCCACGAGTTACATGCTGGGTTTGGTTTTTGTTATGACTTGATTTGTTGTGGAATTGATTACTCTTCACCTAATCCTCCCATTCCATGGCTACGAACTTTCTGTTGCTGTCGAAATTCTCTGTCCTGGGTGTTCTCCTTGCTCTGGCTACAACCCATCCCACCTCATGCTCATGTCACTACACTTCGATCTTCAGCTTCGGCGATTCGCTCATCGACACCGGAAATCTACTCCGTTTACAACACAATAATGCATCGTTCGAGTGCTGGTTCCCTTACGGAATTACTTACTTCCATCATCCCACTGGGAGATGCTCCGACGGCCGCCTGATCATTGATTTCATCGGTATGTTCCTTCTGCCATTTTTCTTAAACATGGACGAAAAACAGAGCTTCACCCATCTCCCTTCCTCGACACAGGAATCAAAATTCGCTTTGCCCAATACTGTACTCTACTTCTTCAATATGAAGTGATAAATTTGCTAACGAGTTGTGATGATTTGAGGCTATAGAGGGGTTTATGTAACCGGGGATATCTACCTTCTCTTGTGAATGCAGCTGAGTATCTAGGACTCCCGTTCGTACCTCCATATCTGTCAAGAGGGAGCGGTGGCCAAGATTTCCGGCATGGAGTGAATTTTGCGGTGGGAGGAGCTACAGCCTTGGACTATAACTTCAATGAACATGGGGGAACCCACGATTCCCGTATCAACAACTCTCTGGCAATCCAGCTCAGATGGTTCAAAGAGCTCTTGCCTTCTCTTTGTGATTCAGATTCAAGTAACTAGTCTGTTTCTCTATCTTTTCTCAAATTTCTGAACTGAAACAAACGCTTACTCATCCAATTCAGAAGAACGACCATTTAAACCCACTCATCGTTTTCTCTTTTGTTCTTACCTCTTACTTGTATTGAACCTGGATTCCATAGTTTTTAATTCTATAATTAATGTAATATTATTGTCTAAATTCACAGAGTGCAGAGATTTGTTCAGTAGATCTCTGTTTATTGTGGGAGAGATCGGGGGAAATGACTATAGCCTTGCTTTGAACCGGGGAAGAAGCTTGGAGGAGATCAAATCCCTTGTTCCAAGAGTCATCAACAACATCTCGTCTGCAATCCAGGTGAGCCCTCAAATCCAAGGTAGTGAGGCAGGTCTGGCCGCCGGTCAGAATGGTGACAAATAAAAGGGTCATTTAGTAAAACACTCATTGTAAAACTTTTCCTATAATTTGCAACCAATTTACTTTCTATTAATAATCCTTTAGTATTTCTGTCTAAAAATTGGTAACCCGACCATATAAACAAATTGGAAAATGTTTATGGGCATAAATCCATACTTTTTATTCTGAAAATCTCCCTAAAACTTCATATCAAGTTTCTACAAAGAAGCAAGGTTTGATTTTCAGATCTATCAAAAAAATGTTTGGCTTCAACGGAATAAAGAAGAAAGAACAATGGTATTCAAGTTTCTTCCTCAATAATCACACGTAAGGATGCAAACGGATTAGATGGGATTTGAATTGGGGTATATTCAATCCAATAGTATAAATAGTAAATCTAATCCAATTTGAAGATCTGGTCAGATCTAGCTCACAAATGTCAGATATTCAAATATTGATCCGGTTCAATTTAATTTCTGGAAATTTTAAAAGACATGACAATATAAAGAAAAACAAAAAATAGAAGTGTTTTTTTCAACTACTTTCATCAAATATATATACATGTTTTTTTATATAAAAAAGCTACAATATATATATATAGGTGATCTGAATTCTCTTTGGTTTTCAATCAGGTCCTATTTATCCAATTCGATTCAAAAACCTGATAGGGGAGATATCCAAAATTCCAAATCCAACAAAATATTATTGGACCAGATCATGATTCGATCCATTTGCACCCTAATAGCACGTCTTCCTTCTTCAAGCAACAAATTTTACTGAAAAGAGTTGTTGCCTACCTTTTAATAGGAAGGAGAATGGCATTTCAATTTTTCTTGCTGTAGATTAAATTTATTAGAAAAGATGTTAAAGTCAAAACTAATATTTTTCACATCCATGAAATAAATGTCAATTAAATAAATTGATTGCAAACTATAAGGGGTGTTTTAATGAAATAGAAATTATAGGGTATGTTTTAGTAAATCTATGAAACAATAAAGGTGTCTTATTAAATGACATTAAAGAAAATCAAAGTGGTGGATGAGAGTGAATTTCTGAGAATTCAAGCCCATAAACATAAACGTCATATACTCATGGCCCATTGTAGTGTCTGTTTGGCATCGATGTTGTTTCTCTAGAAAATGGTGACACATTAGTGTCACACCAGAAAAAGAAATGGTGCTCCAAGAAATGCCAATATGTTTAGAACCATATTTCTATAAAAAATGGTGCTCCAAGCCATGCCTTGGACATCAAGAAGGCATGGTTTGGAGCAACGCTGAATTTGACGTTTTTTTAAATTGTACCTTGTTGCTGCCAATAAGGACATGATGTGATAGTGACATGGACTTCCTATAATGGGTATCGGTGCTGAAAACAGATATGGAACATTAGTATTAAACAAAAAGTGTTGTTATTGGTAGAGATCAAATTCAGTGCTCACAAGACTGTTTATATTATTTTCACAGCCTTTTTATAGTTTGGTATTGAGAATATTTGTGTATTTGTACGTTTCTTTTTCATGAAGAGATATTCCCAATAAAATACTGAAAGGCACTGTACTAACATTAGTCTTGTGAGGACGAAGTCCGAAATTAGGTGGAGGATTTGTGAAAGTATGAAGTATTAATTGATTTGTTGGCGCAGATGTTTATCCAAGAAAATGGAGCAGTTACGCTCCTGGTTCCTGGACACCTCCCATACGGTTGTTTCCCGGTATTTCTGACGGATTTCAAAAGCCCGAATGAGGAGGACTACGAATCTGAAACGGGGTGCCTGAGATGGTTGAACCAACTTTCAGAATTCAACAACCATTTGCTACAAGAAGAGATCCATAGGCTGCGACACCTACATCCCCATGTCACCATCATCTACGCAGATCTCTACAATGCTGTCAAGGCCATTTTCCGCTCTCCTGACAAATTTGGTAAGACTCACTCTTTCTACTGAGCTTAATCTTGAGTATAGGGATGCAAACGAATCGTATCGGATTCGAATCAGGATATATTTTTGATCTGATATTATTAATGGTGGATTCGATCCCATTGGATCTGATAAGCTTTGAATCCTACCAATAAGTTGGATCTGATTCAATTTGACATATTTTCTTTAAAAGTTAATAAATTATTAAAAGAAAAATAAAATATATTAATTTAAATAAAGAAAAACAAAAAATACAAGTATTTCTTTTAATTCTTTTTATCATATATATGTGATTTTATAAAAAAGTAAATAATATAATAAATTTATAAAAATACAATATATATAATATATTTATAAATAAATAAAATAACATATATATATATATATATATGTGTGTGTGTGTGTGTGTTTGTGTGTGTATTATATATTTATATAAATAAATACATAACATATATTGGATCAGATTTTCTTGAATCAGATAAGAGATGATCCGAATTCGATCAAATAAAATCATGATCCAATCCATTTGTACCCCTACTTGGGTCTAAGGCCCTTTTAAAGTTTGCCATGTTTACAAGCATCAAGGATAGATGGAAATGGACCCACTTGAAATGGAAAATTTATTTATTTGGGTTTCTCGTATATGTGTTATTTAGGGTCCCAATGGTGTCAATATATATAGGGTCTGGACTAGTTTTGGATTGGACCCGTTCAAATCAAAAACAATTTGAGCAGGTCGAACAGACCAAAGTATTTTTTGGATTGGAATGGACCTGATCCATTTATAATGGATTTATATTGAATTGGGTCAGATATAACCAATATCCAGTCCATTGACATAAGATAAGTGTCAATGGACCAGGTTTAGGTTGAACCCAACCTAAATTAAAACCAATTTGAATAATTTAGACGGTTCAAACATTGAACTGAGCCAGTCCAGAGTCCAGAATGGTCCGAAGTATTCATCGGACTGGACCAATATTGGGTCCATAGACAGCCCTAGTTATATTGGTGAGTAGAGAGGCAAGCAGTTAACAATTTTATGGGTTTAATTGTTTCACCTACTGCATCAATTGAATTGCAGGATTTCGAAAAGGAGCTCTTCTTCTGACTTGTTGTGGAGGTGAAGGTCCATATAACTACAACAAGTCAGTCCACTGTGGGGTTCGGGGTGCCAAAGTTTGCCAAGACCCATCACAGTATGGTAGTTGGGATGGCACCCATATGACAGAAGCGGTCTATAGGGTCATTGCCACCGGTTTAATGGAAGGACCATATGCCATCCCTCCCTTTAACCTATCCCATCTATTACCACTACTGCAGAATGCTGCTCATGTTTCCTATTAATTTTCACGAATATTTGATTGATGATCTTGTTTCCTTGTCATTATTAGCAAAAGTTAAGAGTTAAAACCCATATTTAATTTGTAGACTTGTAGCACATCGACCATGGTCAAGTAACAAAATACCAGTAACAGTGTTTTTTTGTCTTTTTTTGAAACCCATATTTATAGCTATTACTTTTTTGTTCCTTATCTTTCATCCTTCTTTGCAGATGTCTTCATTGGTCGATCAGAGAAAGTTGTATGATTGAAATCATATAAAGCTCTCTGACAAAAAAAGATCTAACATCAGAGAGAAGCGATATCTTGTCAATGGCACTCTTTTTCTGAATTCAAATCAGCCCCCACAACGCTCTATAGTACATCTCTGTCATGTATTGGGAACATCTGCTAATGATGATATCATCATTTCTGATATTGTCATCAGTAGATGCTTCCAATATATGGTATATGGCCGGGATGTATTGTGGGACATTGTGGGGGGTAATCTTATGGAGGACTGATTTGATCTCTTTTTCTTTTATGGCTATTAGCTTAGGGATAATAATTTTTCTCATCCTCGTCGGGTATCCAATCTACTTGACGGGGAATTGAATCCTACAACCAGCACTTTAAGGAAAAAGGGAATATGGGACAAATTATTAATGGTGTATAACACCGAAGAGTTCAAATCAGCCCCCCACAAAATT